GACTGATAGTTCAATCTAATTTTACTTGGTCATATTTTATGTCTCTTAAACTAATAGTTCCTCCTGATTCAGATGGTGAGTAAAATTATGAAGATGGTTATAATGAGAACAATAATATGTGGACTGGATATGATCCACTGGTAAAAAAAAAACAGGTACCAGTAAATGAAAAGTTGTTCACAGAATTCAGCCAGCCTGAAACATATGACAAGCTATTGCCAAAGCTTTCACCAGCTATGCGAAAAAGTGTCAGTCATATACAGTTCAGAAAAAGGAATCAGATGAGTGGTTTTTATCATTACAATATCTGAATGCTAAAATAAATGATTTAACAATCTCTAATTCTTTTTTAGATAATGCGAGCGAGTTTGAAAGAGTGAATGATGTAACAATTAATACCCTTAGGTGGAAAACTGATAAGCCATCTGACTTCACAATAAAAGGTAACTCCAAATACATTACTGAATCATTGAGATGGTTTACAGATATACCAATCAGTATAAAGGATAAGGATGGTAAAACCGTTACAGCTACTGGAAATTTTACTCATATTGATAATGGAGAATCTGAACCAATGTTATATTTAGGTATGATATGGATTAGAAAAGTTCAAGGTGTCCTTAACCTAAATAAAATCAATTTTGAATGAAGTTACATGGGAAAACTTACATTATCCCAACTTTTAGCAAAGCTTCAGAAGTTGAAAATCCGCCCAAAAAGAAGCAAAACCAAGTATTTACTAACTCCTCTAGCCCAACTAGTGAGGAGGACTTAAAAAAAAGTGCGTAAATTATGCAAGACTTGAAGAGCAACTATTAAAAACTGAGAGATAGCTTGACATAGCTTTATACTAGCCTTTTTTTTCTGACTAACTTTATCTTTTTGCCCATTAGTTACTATATTCAGACTATTAGAATTTATATGGAAATTTGAACTATTCTTATTATCTGCATGATGCTCCGTATGAATAATCCCATCTTCTTGAGTAGAGGAAGAAGTATTGTGTGAAGATTTCTGATTATTTTCTGAAATCTGATCAGAGATGCTAATAGATTTTATGATTCTACGCCATTTCTCAGTAGGTTCAGGAAGCCTCTGATTATCAATTATTTTTTGATATGTCATCGATCCTATACGATATTTTTTACACATAATACGCTAAGAATCTAGAATATTATTCTGAGCATTTCTAATTTCTTCGATAACTTCAAGTGACAAGCGTCTGGCATCTGATCTAAGAAATTTACGAGTATGAGTTATTTGTTTTTTGCTTATAGTTTGTTAGTATTAAATCTATATGATACTAATAAAAAACTTGTAGAAAATTTATTTGATATTGGTCTACCATTAGTCTAATATTGGTCTTATATTAGTTTGATACATATTCAAAACTCGCTTTTCTTATCACGTAGCTTGCTATAATCTTAATCTAAATAAAAATAGGTTTAAGATATATACAGTTTACATATCATATTCGTTTTAAACTGATTTATTATCAATTTTTTATTGGTTTGATATCAGTTTGATTCTAAATCCTTTCTTCATCTTCAAAGAAAAAAAAATATAAAATCTTTGCTTTTAAATAAGTTCGTATGGCTAATGTACAATATATACACTGAAAGATATAAATGATAGGGTACTTGGCAATAAACTTAGAGATTCACCATTTAATCGATATCCACCTAGCTGAATTGAACTTGAAAATCAATTTGCTTGTATAAAACGTGACCTAAATATTGCTTTAAGCTCAAGTATTCAGCTTAGAACTAGAAATAGTCTCTTAATAAAAAATAATGAGAGTTTTTTAGAGTGTGTATGTCAGCTTGAAGATAAAGTGAGAGAGTTCAAAAATCAGATCACTTATAAAGATATTTCTTTCGCAAAAGTTGAGAATGAGATCATTATAAAATTGGAAAAGATACAAGCCCTCTAATTAGAAATAAAAGAGTTGGAGATAAAGTATTTATTAGCCTAGAAAGACTTATCAGAAATGGATTCTTTTAGATGGGAATTAGCGCAGATTAGGCAAAATGTTAAGCTAAATAATATTGACTTAGATCTGAAGGAAGATGAATTAAGTGAGAAAAAGGGCGGTTGAGAGATGAATTAACTACAACACGAATAGAATTGATGGATAAAAAAGAAGAATTAATGCAGATGAAGAATAATTTGTCTTCAGCATAAAAGGCATTAATAGAAAAAGACTCCTTCCTTCAAGAAGCTAATGATTATTTAGCCAAGCAGACTCCTAAAACATCCAGCGAGTCTGAAGTGCTTGGAGGTGTTAGCGAACTGGAGAAAGGTAATGAAATCACTAGCCTCAAAACAACCTCAGAATCACTTTATTCCTTATTTTTTCAGTATGCATTCATCTTCGTAATAGTATTACTAATCATATACATCCTATGGCGCATATTCTCTTGTCTATATTCGAATAAAGAAAAAAATATTCTAATCTATAAAATACCCTTAAATAGAAATCAAAATTATGGATTCCCAATCTGATACGGAGAAAAACTAAAAGAAAGAATTAACATCTATGAAACTTTACCTTATTGACATGGATGAGACCACAAAGTATGAATCATCTTGAATTCAGCTATCTTTCAAAGGTTTGTCCTATCTATATCTAATTGATAAGGGGTCATCAGATGGTCTTCGAATATCAATAACCACAAAGTGTTTTTTTATTATCTTATAAATTTTTTTTGCTAGAGGCTCATAATCATCATATATATCTTTAAGAATTCGCTTTATACTATTTAATGTTTCACATCCACGATGCAATAAAATATATTTAAGATTTGCGCATATATTTGAATGGATTTCATAAAAACGTTGGGCTATATAAATTGAATTAATTCCATTATATCTGCCTGATCTAAAGAAAGGGACAATTTTTAACTGAGTTGCCAAAGGTTCTCTGGCAAGATCATCAAAGACTATAACAGTAAATCAGCCAGTTCTTTTGAAAGATACAATATCAGGTAGTTCTTCAAGCATGATTAGCTTGAATCTCACATTTTCATACTATGGAGCTTGCTTATTCATGGCTATAAATTCATAAAAACATTGTACTGCTTCCCATAGCTCTTCATCTTGATGTTACGTAACAATAATTAGATCATCACATGGAATATACCTTTCACCAAAATTTTTGCTCCCACATTTTGGTACTTTATAATTACGCTTTTTATCAGATATTCATGGATATATTTTTGGATATTTACTTCCTAGAAACAGATGTATTACTATGCTCGTCTTTCCAGACTCAAAGGTGCCTGCGACTAACAATCTAAATAGATGCTTCAAAGCATAGATATTCCCTTAAAAGATGTAGAATTATCTGGTTTGCAAAGACTGTAATACTCCATTAGTGTTCAATTTGATATAAAACAGAATCTGAAAAGATGATTATTAAAAATATCCTAATACTAACCAATAATGACTAATAAATTATCTTTGAACGATGCAATAAAAATAGCCGAATCTCGTAAAGAAAAATGTCTCTCTAAAGAGTATATGAATTGTGAAACTCCAATACTTTGAGAATATAATAAAAATCATCGATAGACTGCACAATTTTGTAATATCAAAAACTGTCATTTATGGTATCCTCATTGCGCAAATAAAAAACTTAGTATTGCAGTAGCCAAAGAACTAGCACATGCTAAAAATGGAAAATGTATTTCTGAAAACTATATTAATAATAATTTACTCTCTTATGGAAATGTGAAAATGGGCATCAATTTCATACCTCTCTTGTACATGTTAAAAACAAGAGTACTTGATATTACGAATGTAAGAAACTTGAGCTTGAATTTGCTCAAAATCTTGCACATAGAAAAGGAGGTGTTTGTCTTTCTAATTCTTACTGCAATAAACGTAGTCAATTATCTTGGAGTTGTTCTGAAGAGTATTCATGGCTTGCCAAAATTGGCGATATAAAAAGAGGTACTTGGTGTCCACATTGTCGTTGCAAATCTGAAAGACTTGGTATTGAATGTGCCAAAGAATTAGCATAAAGTAAAAATGGAGAGTGTTTATCTATTACATATATCAACACTAAAACACATTTGCTCTGAAAATGTAATAAAAATCATACTTGGTATAGCACTTTTGCTAGTATAAAGTATAGTAACTCTTGGTGTCCCTATTGCTCTAGCATAAAACTTGGAATTTCAGAAGCTAAAGCTATAGCATATAGTCAAGGTAAAGATTGTTTAACAGATTCTTATGTTAATTGTAATGGTCAGTTACTCTGGCAATGCAGTAAAAATCATCAATAGTATGCTAGACTTTCTTATGTAAAAAATAATAATACATGGTGTTCCTACTGCTCAAAATATAAAAGAGAAAATTTGTGTCGAGAGATTGTGTCAAAATATCTTGGACTACTATCTAAGATATGTCAACCTGATTTTCTTAAAACTTTAGATCACCCAACTGAATTAGAACTTGACATTTATTACTCACAATATGAATTTGCAACCGAAATACAAGGAGAACAATACGAAAAATATATAGAGTTCTTTCATAGAGGCGATCCTAATAATTTTATCAAATAGCAAGAGCGGGATCAACTTAAGAAAGAATTATGCAAAAAGAATCAGATTACCCAAAGGTATGTTTAGTATTATGAAAACCCATATGTAGTTATTCCTAAGCATCTTCAAGAATTGGGCCTCATTGAATAAACTCAAAACTTTAAATGCTTTATGATTATTACATACCCATTTTTTTCCAATACACACACCCCACACCACACCATAGACTATTTAGAAAATTATAAGCATAAAATTTTATTTAATTTCAATATGAATACATATAATGCGTCATTATTCAATTAAATCTAAACCACTTATTTAAATGTTTTTGCTAATTAAATTTAGCTATAGAAATTCTCATTTTAACATTTATTCCAATTCTTGTAATTGTGGTATTTGGCCGAAAATATCATTTTTAAGAAATACATAGGGTTGCCTACAGGGTTTGTAATGCTAAATATTGTTAAGAATATCGTAACCAATTACACCACATATGATACCAGCTGGATTACTTTGCCATGAATGAATTTCCTTTGTTCTAACCCAACTAGACCAGTTGATCCCATCATCTAAGCAAATGTACCAATCTCTTGAAGCCTGAAACATTTTTGCGCCAGCACCATATCTATCAGCTCTACTAGAATTTGGACTCCAACTATTTTAAGCACTACAGTAGTAGTCATAAGTATCCGACCGCTAATATTTTCTAAAATCAAGTAATAACATCCATTAAAATTTTCCAAAATTTAAGTTCA